ATATATATAAAATACAGGCTGATTTTAGATGCTCCTAATGACTTGGTTGGTTTAGCTTTGTTTACCAGACATCAACCAGACAGAATTTTAAAAGAACCCCTGATGTTAAATTACCTCACTCTGCTACACTTAGGGCTTATTTCAAAGTACCGTATTTCCCGCCGTATAAGTCGCATCAGTCCAAATTTGTCTAATAAAGTGGAACAAATGTAAATTGGTCGCTTCGCCGTATAAGTTGCATCTATTATGCGTCACCGCTGACGCATCACGTTTGTTACACGTCCGCGGTGACAACCCGGAAATGTGGGCGGCCGGTGTTGTGACAAAAATCGATTGGCTGCAAAATTGTGGCTGCAGGAGCATACACGGGAGGACTTTAACAAGATAAACATTTACAAACAATTATTTGTTGCCTGAAATTATAGTAAAGGTGTGTCTCAGTTGATCTTTTACTTAATAAAATGACTTTTAACGGTCAAATCAGCTGCATTTTAAAATCCGATTCGCGGCTGCAGTAGCGCGCAGAGGGAGTACTCGCTGTGCATTTCTTCTAAATTTAACAAGATAAGCACCTAAAACTATTTGTTTGCTCAGTATTATAACAAAGGTGTGTCTTAGTTGAACTTTTACTTAACAAATGCACTTCAATGGTCAAATCAGCTTCATTTCGTTGGGGTGGTGCAGCGAAATGAAGCTGATTTGACATTTGCTCCAGGCATGATCCCAGAGCTGGACGAAGGTGGCAGGCTATGGCAAGCCGATGGTGTCATTAATAACCACTTTTACCTATTGCATGACGCTGATGAAGAGTCTTAGTCATTCAGGACATGGTAAATTAAAAAAAACAAAAAAACAACTGGACTTTATTTTTAACTTGGAAGCGAAACGTCTTCAATTATAAATAAAGTCCTGTTGCTTTGTTTACAACTTTTTTTTTTTTGGACCTATTGCATGACAAAACGGCATGCCGTACTACTCTAATGCCATCTAGTGGCTGAAAATAGTAGTGTTCAATATTTTCAATGTCAGAATGAATGAAAACGGTCATATCTCAGCCAAAAATTCGTTTATAAATATGGATTAAAAAAAACATAAATTAGTTGCTTCGGTGTATAAGTCGCAGGGTTAAAAAAAAACCTGTGACTTATACGCCGGAAAATATGTTAGTATTTTTATACTGAATGTTTTTATATGAAGTGAGCAGATGCAGGCTGTTAGCTGGACATGGAGAGTTTTATATTTTTGTCTCGCTCCTCGGCAGCTTGACAACATTTTTCTAACAAACACCTATTTAAAACGTATTCTTATAAATCATAAACCATTGTTATAACCACTGTTTAAGTTTGTTTTTATGATTTTCCATTTTAAATACTAACAAAACAAACAAACAACGATCAGGAATATTTTAGTGTTTGTCAGGTTTTTTTTCAAAATTGTTTATTTTTTATTTTTTATTTAATCAAAACTCTGTAAACCTTTTGTGAAAATGAAACAAAAGTATTTGTATATATATATATATATATATATATATATATATATATATATATATATAAATATATTTAAGTCAGAGTAGCAGCTTTGTCTAAAACCAGTATCTAAGCTGCGACTGTCTGTGCAAATTGCAAACAGCGTTTGTCTTGAAAGTTTGTGAGGAATCCCGGTTTTCTTCTGAGTCGTTCGCTCTGGCATCGTCCGAGTCCTCACAGGGACCTGAAACTCCTCCGTTTAGTTTCAAAATCAGAGTGTGAGAAATGTGAGACAACTTTGGCAGAATTTGGCAACTTCTGAGACCAAATTGGAAACAAATTGAAAGTTGGGAATAATTTACAACCAAACTGAGACGTGATTAAGACACTTTGGGACTAAACTAAATGAGGCCGAACCGTTGATGTTTAGTAATGGTTAGAGGCCGTCCTGCAGGTGAGTTTAAATGTTAAAATGTTTTCATGTTTCTGCGCAGGAAAGAGAGGACGACCAGCGGACTCTCATCCAGATCTGCGAGTGTCTCCGTCTCCTTGGCAACGCCCTCGTAGCCCTGAGCGACCTGCGGCTGAACCTCCTCAGTCCGGTCCCTCGCCACCTCCACGTGGTGCGGCCCTTTTCTCACTATGCCAGTCCCGTCTCTCTCCCAGGAGCCGTGCACCATCACGTCCCAGTCCATGTACGTGACGTCCGACTCGGTCCAGCTCGGTGACGTTTCTTTCCTCATACGTTTACTCTGATTGCACTTTCTTCACCTGCAGATGAACCTGGGCGCCACAGTGACTGTTGCCTCCAACAGCACTGAGGGACAAGCTCCGCCCACCCAGCCGGCCAGCCAGCCGGAGCAGGCAGGTCAGGGACAGACCTCCCCCTCACAGACTTCCCCGTCCAATCAGCAGGCTGGACAGGGACAGGCTGCCCCCCGGGTCATCAGGATCAGCCACCAGGCTGTCCCGGTGGTCATGATGCAGATGAACGCGGACGGTGTGTTGTCCCCCACCCGCCACTGATTGAATGCTGCCTCCTCTGCGGCGCCGCTTTGTCTGTTCAGTGCTGCTCGACTTTGCTGGAGCTCCGAGGAGTTTCTCCATTTCTGCTGTTCGCTGAAAGCTTACTGGCGGCTCTGGTGTTCTCTCTGTAGATAACTTGTGTTCATAAAGTTTGTATTTTTTGTGATTTTGTGTGCAGGTCCTGGTACAAACTCTGCAGCAGGGGGTCAGCAGATGCCTGGACAACCAAGTAAAAAGAAGCAGATAAATCTAATTTAATAATTTAAAAACCTGAATTTATGGCCAATAATCCTGAATTATCTTCACCCCTCCCTTCTTTAGATGTCCTCCCCCCTGACTTTATGCGAAACGTCATGCAGCAGATCAGCCAGTACGCAGCTGCTGTCGCCACCAGCGCTGCCACCGCCGCCACCTCTGGCCAGCCGGTCCCCCCTCACCCCACTCCTCCCAGCTCCACACCCACCTCCTCAGCTACCACCACGGGTCCCAACACACCCACCACCACTCCCACTGCGCCTCCTCCACCCTCCCACACTGGCCCCCAGCAGCCCCAGGACCGGGTTGTGTTCACCCGGCCCCCTTTTGCCACCAACATCCCCCCTCCAGCCTTCGGGACCCGGGGAACCACCATCAACGTGAGGGCAGCCATGCCGGGCCAGCAGCAGGGACAGGTGGGTCTGACGCTAACTGATGCTAGCTGACGCTAACTGATGCTAGCTGACGCTAACTGATGTTAGCTGATGCTAACTGATGCTAACTGACAGATCTTGGGTTTTCAGCCTTAGAGCAGAGGGTCTGCAAGCTGCGGCTCGAGGGCCACACGTGGCTCCTGGTCTCAACAGTAGCTCTTCTGTGGAAATTAATTATATTTAAATTCTTAATCACAACAGGAAAGGCTACCGTTAGCAACTTATTTGTTGGATTTTATGAAATATGAAAATTAATTTCTTGACAGAATGAGAAATTTGTTGCTAATTGTTAACCTGTTAGTTGCAAAATTGTGATTTTTATCTAAAATTCATCAGGAATTTTAAGGTTTTTACACATTTTGACCTGTTGCTGAGGAAAATCTAGTTTTGCACACTTCTGAGAAAAGTCACAGCTTTGGTCAAATAAAAAGTTAAAGTAAATTAAGCTTTCTTCCTTTTTTAGATTAAATACACAACAAACTGTCCTCGTTGTTCTCTAAAAATGTTGGAATGCATAAAAATGGTTTATTATTTCGAATGAGAGGCTTATTTTATTTATTTATAGAGAGGAATCACCGAGTTCAGTCTTTAATTGTGTCAAATGTAAACAAAAATTGAACATTATAAAGTAATAATAGTTTTGAGTATAAAGTGTTTATATAACACTGACTGAGCCGTTGGCTTCGTTTTGAGCGCTGTGGCTCTGAGTAAACTGTATTTAAAGATGTGTCTTTATTTGAAGCTGACTGAAGACTTTGCTCTCAGGCCTTCAACCCGGCTGCTCTCAACCAGATGATCAGTGGACTGGTTGGACAACTTTTACTGCCGGGACAAATGGGTCAGTTGAATCTGAACGATTTGATCAGTTTTAATTCACAAACTGTTTTTTTTAAATTGATGATTAAATCTTTGTGTTTTTACAGCAGGTCAAACAGTCACATCTTCTACCTCCTCTACTTCCACCTCCTCCTCCACCTCCTTTTCCTTTTCTGCCTCGGGGCCGACGCCGCCTCCTCCTGCGAACGCGACTTCCACCCAGAACCAAACAGAGACCGGCAGCAGCGAGTCCCTGCCCCAGGACTTGGCTCCAGACCTTCGCCAGCTCCTCAGTTCTCTCCTTGGTGTGGCTGGAGGGGTCGGTGGTGGCGGCTCCACAGGGGCCCCCTCCATAACCGTCACTACGTCCGGAGTCCCGAACTTCATGCAGGGCGTGACGGAGCTCATGCAGCAGGTCAGCGCAGAAAAGCCATTTACGACACGTTTGTCTTTCCGAGCTCCTTTTTCAGGCTCGTGATGTGCAACAGGAAGCTCTTGGGGCTCCTGCGCTTCATCTGAACGTTCTTTGTTTTGGTGCCGAGCGCTTTAGGAAGAGTTTCCCGCTCTGTTCCTGTCGTGACCGAAACAAACGAGAGACGATCCTCGTTCTGGACGTTCAGTGCGGACACGTGTGCTGTTAACACCCCTAATCTTTATCATGCTTTCTCCAACAGCCCATTTTCTCCCCGCCCCCACCTCCCTCCGGTACCACCCCAGCTCCCGCTGCTGCACCCCCCTCGGCTGCCAACCCCCCCGGAGCGGCGGCTGACTCCCTCAACCCGGAGCTGTTCACGGGGATTGTCCGCGGCGTCCTCAGCTCCATGATGGGCTCTCTGGGCCAAGCGCAGAACGACACGGAGAGCATCGCTCAGTTCATGCAGAGGCTGTCTCAGGCCACCAACATCTTCATCAGCCCTGAGGACCCCACAGGTGCGCCGCCTCACCTGCACGCTGCAGCAGCTGTCGTGACGTGGGGTGTTTATTTTACGTTTGGGCTTCCCAGGGTTCTTCGGAGAGCTGCTGATGTTGGTGTGCCAGACGTTCACCATGTCGGACCTGGTGATGCTGCTGCACGGTCAGCACCAGCCCCTGAGCCGGATCCAGCCTCAGCTGTCCCAGTTCTTCACCCAGAACTACCTGAACGGCAGGGAGCCCACCGACCAGAACATCACTGTCAGTCTCAGCAGGAACCTTAAAAAAAAAAAACACTGTTAAAGTTTACAAAGATGTTTCAACACTGACGTTTTAAAATCTCTGCTTGTTTGTTTGTTTACTTCTTTGTGGTTGTTCTTCCTGGACAGACGGCTGCTGACAGCCTCGTTAACGAGCTGGAGGAGTACATCACAGAGAGCTTCGTGAGTCTTTGAAACTTTATACGTCAACCTGAACACAGACGATTCGATTCAAAACCACTCCTGGTGCATCTCAGGCTTTTATTGTTCGAAACGTTTCACGATGAAAACGTTCAGTTTTACAAACCGTTAACAGAGGATTTAGATTCTGGAGGTTTTTGTGTAAGTTTATTCTAGATTGAGCCCTTCTGTCCTCCTGCAGAGAGAGTCTTCCGTCACGGTGTTGGACGGCGTGGACGCCACCCAAACCAACATGTCTTTCTTCAGACAGCAGCTGATGCAGATCGCCACTCACGTTCTGCGCTGCACAGGTAGAACGTCCGTTTAACCGTACGCTTCGGTAGATCCAGTTACAGTTGAGCTGTGAGGTGGAGAAACAAAAGAATGAAGTTCGCTCAGCTGTAAATAAATCTGCTGTAAAATATTGAAGCGTTTGATTGTTTTTGGTCCAGATGAGAGCTTCGGGCCGCAGCTGCTGCAGATGTGTAACCAGGCGCTGTTCGAGTGTCTCGCCCTCAACCTGTTCTGTCTGAGAGGAGACCAGAGGGCGCTGACGGCTGTCATCAACCACCGAATAGTGAGGAGAAGACGCAACTTTTGATTATATTTTTAATTATGTTTCCAAAGCATCATTATTTCGATAAGTTTTTAACACCTGCGGGCGAGCAACAGGTCTGAACGTCCACGTGCACAAACCACGCCAAGAATCGGTTATAAATGGAGAAAGTGCATTTCCTGCAAAAATGCTGTGTGAATGCTTATCACATTTATAACGGCTGAAATAAGCTAAAAACATGCTGAAATGTAGCTGAAATGGAAGAACAAGCTGAAGTCGGCAGAAGACAGCAGAAAGAACACAAATTTGCTGAATTATGTTTAAATGAGCACAAAAATTCGGAAATTGGCTAAAAAAGCTGAAATTGGCAATAAAACAGCTGAAAAGTAGCTAAAACAGCAGAAATAAGCTTAACTTACCAGAAGGAAGTGGAGAGAGCACATTTTTGCTGAATTGGGCTGAAAAAAAGTTGAAATCAGTACAAAAAAATGTGGAATTAGCTGAAAAAGCTAAAATTAGCATAAAAACGTCTAAATAGCAGAAATAGCTGAGACTTGCAGAAATAAGCTGAAAGGAACAGAAGATGAAATTAGCAGAAATAAGTTGGAAGAAGCACAAAAACATAGTTGGCAGAAAGAATCTGAAGGGAGCAAAAAACAGCCGAAATTAGCTGAAAATAGATTTTTTTTTTAATTTGCACAAGGAAGCTGAAAGAAACTGAACCAGATCAAAATGTGAAAGGAGCTGTAAAAGGTTGTAAACAGATCTGCAGATTTGAAGGATGTAAAATGAGCTCAGTTCATTTTATCTTGGGGAAAAATGGCAGAAAAGGCTAAATATTTCAGTACAGCTGTAGATTAAATCCTAAAGATATTACAGAATAACGTGCATGGATCAGAGCCGTGCATCGTGACCAGAGGGCTCGCTGGTCCCAAACTCAGAATTCAGGGAGACGACGGCTAAAATTTTCCCCTTTTCATAAAATTTTCCAGCAGTTTGAGGTCAGCGTCTCGGCGAGAGCACCTGAAGTAGAACTGTGGTTGTCAGAAAAAGAAGCAGCCATTGTGGCTGCGAGTTCAAAACCCTGAACTGTTTTCGTTCCAGCGGAGGATGTCGAGCGACATCAGCCCCAGCCTGGTGAACTGGATGACCAGCATGATGACGATGAGGCTGCAGGTCATCCTGGAGCACATCCCCGTGTCCCAGGAGCAGATCCAGAACTACATCGTCCACACGCAGGTGTGTTAAACGCTCCCTCCTGTTGCCTGATGGCTGGGGCAGGTCGGGTTTCTGAGGACGCTGCGTCCGAACAGCTCATAAATATTACATGTCGCTCCTCCTCAGGGAGATCAGTCTGCTGCGAGCGGCGCCGAGGAGCCTGAACGAGCTGCAACGGTAAGAATCCTCTGGACTTCAAAGACTTTCAGTGTTTCCAGGTCCTCCTTCATGTCCATGTCCTCCTCCACCAAAGATCGGGGACACCCTGTCCCCTGCTGCAGCCACCACGGCGGAGGAAGCCATGTCCGTGTCCCACAACAGCGCCTCGTCGTCACGGGAGACGAGGGTGTTACCTGGAGACCTGGGAGCCTCGGGCGGAGCTGCGCCGTTGGGTGGCGACATGGCAGCAGCAGGAGCTGAGGGAGGCAGCGAGGAGTCAGGAGAGTCAGAGAGCTGGGCGGCTGCCGTCCCCCCTGTAAGACCCCCACTGACCCACCGCGAGTCAGATCTGGGACCCGTGGACGTCTGTAACGTGTCCCTGTCTCTGATGCAGGAGTGGGTTCCCATCATCAGGTGTGACATGATGACGCAGAGGAAGATGAAGGCCCAGCCCCCGCTGTCTGACGCTTATTTACACGGCATGCCCGCCAAACGTAGAAAGGTAACGGGAGCAGGTGGAGGTCGCTGGTGCGAGACTCGTCCACTTCCTCCTCTTCATCACGCATGTGTTTTCAGACGGGACACGGCAGCGGCAGCCTCCTCTCCCTCTCGGACGCCGTGAGTCAGGCGGCCAGGACGGCAGGAGTGAAGCCCGTTACCTCCTCAGAGGAGCTGCAGAACGACCTGGAGACGGAGGAGGTGAAGGAGGCGTACTCAGAACAGGTATTACACAAACGACACAGGAGTCCTCTTCTTCATCTCTGATGATTCAGTTCAGTTTGTTTCTACGTCTCCAAGTTCCAGCAGAAGTCGTCTCAGGACACTGAACAGAAACATTCACACATTATAAAAGACTATCAGTAAAAGTTCTGGATGTGAGGAAGCAGCAGGTCGTGCTGAATCTTCACGTCATCGCAGTCTCCCATCCTGAGCAAGAACGAAGGAGACAGTGGGAAGGAAAAACTCCCTTTAACAGGAAGAAACCTCCAGCAGGACCAGGCGCAGGACGAGCGGCCGGCTGGTTTGAGAGGACAGGAAGTAGAAACAAACACACAATGACAGGTTCAGGTGAACTTTCTATAGGAGGAAAGACAAAAAACTTTCTATAGGAGGAAAGACAAAAAAACTTTCTATAGGAGGAAAGACAAAAAA